TATATATATACGTGAGAGAGAGGTAATATCCTACGTTAAATCAAAAATCATTATTAACTTAATAATCAAACGTTTATTATGCTTATCCCTAGTTATTATGTTCGTTCGATTAATTTTCAAACTTAATTAAATAATTATTTACACCATAACATAGATATAATATATATATTATATTAATTATTATCCTACGATCATATTCCTGCTGTTCTTATACATCTACACACACACACACCTGCTCATTATTTTTCTAATATATTTCTATTATTTCGTCATCACAATTTTTTATCGATGAAAATATTTGAAAAAGAAAAAATATGAAGAAATTTTTACCCTTTCCCTTTTCCCCCCTCTATCCCATTTTCTCTCCTTCCACGATTCAATTAAATTGAATAATTATTTGGACTCGTTAGTATTAAAAGATGATAAAAACTTCTACCTACGATTAATTTTACGTAATCTATCGTATTTGTAAGATTTAAACGAAGTGTGTAAATATATTATGATACATCGTTGCGCAAGTAGTACGAGTCAATGTTCGAATGAACCTTTTAATTATCGATCGGTTCGATCTTTTACGAAAAAAAAAAAGAAAATTTGCCTTTAATATCGCACGATATTAAAGATAATTTATTTTCCGATATAATAATCGTAGGTGTATGGGAAACGTATTAGGTCTGATCGAGCGAATAAAAAGGTCATTTTATATTCGACCGAAATGGAATAAAACGCATCTGCTACCCTGAGAACAACCCCATACCAATCCCCATCCCACCCCACCCACACCCTCATCCTAAAATTATTCGTAGTAGTTAAACGTTTCGGTAACACGACGTATCGACAGCTCCTGCTTGAATATTTATTTAATTTTTTATGTTTTTTATTATATATATATACACGTGTGTGTATATGTATGTATGTATGTATGTGTTGTATTAACGTGGTATACTATGAATAACTTATCTATAAATTAAAAAGTTGCTTTTAATATCACGATTTTTTTTTTACGTAGCAATAACTTTTTGTATTTTACTTTATAAACAAATATAACGATATATTATATTATAATATAATAATACACACAGTGTTTTTTATATATACACACGATCTATGATAACGGGGGAAAATAATTAAAGTTTAATTCGAATTTTATTTAAACAATTTGACGTTTTAAAAGAAAAAAAAAAAACAAATACAACGAGAAGTATTATTTCTATTCAACGACATGCAACTTTGATAAATTTGCGATAACGTTTAATTTATTTTAAGCGGGCATGTTGCATCTTTGCCTTTGGTGGTTTGGAGGAGGGGGAAAGGGGGTTGGGGGTGTACCTGCATCGTTTTTAACTGCATTTAGGATACATTGATTATACTATCGAACGAGAAACAAAAAATATATATCAAGTTGTTCGTATATACTTTAACATATTTCTTTTTTACTTTTTATTTAATGGTTCGAATAATAATAATAATAATAATAATAATAATAATAATAATAATAGAACGATTGTTAAAAATTAATGAACAATAAAAAAAAAGTATAATAGATCATCTATCTATCTATCTATCCATCAAAATTATGGTGTATAGAATATTTAAAACAAAACAACCATAACGCGTAT